CAGAATCTCTAAATGCATTCCAATTTCCATTCCAATTTTTTGGAAAAATATTTGGATTCGGAAGCTTTACAATCGGAACCAGAAACAATATTCCAACTTGCATGCCTAATGATAACTTAAATACTTATTTCATTGTTAAGGTTTTGTCCAGTGGGGAGGGGATTGTCCTTACTGTGACTGGTATGTAATTTACAAAGTCATCCAAAAGTGTTGATGTTGGTCCTTTTTACTTTTGCTTGTATGATGTTCTAGTCTAAGTTACTAAGAAGCAACTTCAGATTTTCCCCTTGTTGATAATGCAGGAGTACAGTAGCTATACATTCCCACTTGCAGTGGCCATTGTTATATCTGGCATGTATGAGGATGATTTGGATAACGCAGAGGATGTTGTGTATACTGGCCAAGGTGGTCATAATTTGTCAGGTGATAAGCGTCAAATTCGAGACCAAGTTCTAGAACGTGGTAATTTGGCACTCAAGGTGTGTATTGAGAGTCTTCTCGTTTTTGTTTTACAAATTTGTCCTCATTTTCCACTTGTAATGGTAGTTGTTTATACATTCAACGATTTTTTGTTGTTCATCCCATGTGTTTATAATGTGAGTTGGCCATAGCAGATACGTTTACTTCTGTTGGTTTCTTGTTAGTTGACACCGTTTCAAAGTAACTTAGTCCTATGTATCTGGTATTTTTATGAATTTAATCTATAAACTGATAGTTATAAGTTCTCTGTTAACTGATATTAAGTTCTCTAACAAGGACCACATATGTATGAGTTCTCTGTTCAAAACTTCAAATGTATTAGTTATTCTCTAACAAGGACCACAAATAAAGATTCGGTTTTAACTGTCAAACCTGAGATGATTTGATGATCTGAACCTTTGGTCTATAGGTCCCTATGGATAATTACAAACATGTTTCTACGTGTGGGTTCACATGTTATCTAAGAATTTATATGTTCTCACAAATTGCAGAATTGCGTGGAGCAATGTGTACCTGTTAGAGTAGTTCGTGGCCATGAATGTAAAAGTAGTTATGTTGGAAAACTTTACACGTATGATGGTTTGTACAAGGTAAATCCTTTGAAGCTTGTTGTTTTATTATTTTTACTATTTGTTTACTCTATATCTCACTAAAACCATATCTATCACTTTAAATATCAAAAACTACTTGTTTGTTGAACTTTCTGCTGATGTTAACAATGAAAGAATTAGTTATATTTGCAAATAAAGAAATGGTAGATAGACCCTTTTGTTTCTGACTAACTTAACATTCATTTTACAGGTTGTTCAGTATTGGGCGGAGAAGGGTATTTCTGGATTTACTGTTTTTAAGTATCGTCTTAGGCGTATGGAAGGGCAACCAGTTTTGACCACTAACCAGGTTATATATTTTGCTGTACTATCTTTTTCTCCATTACCGATCAAGAAAAGCCTTATTTGAGGCAACTTAGTCAGGAAATTAATCTGTTATGATAGGATTAGTGTTTATTCGGGAAATTATATCTTGAAATTTATAAGGCAGAATAGATATTTAGAGTTTACTTAAGTCTTATTTGGTACTATAAATATTCATAATAAGGTGCACCAGAGTTCTCTTTTTTCTTAGTCCGTGCTGGTGTCACATCATTTGAAGTCACAATTCTCTTTTAATTTTGGAAAATCTCTCATTCCTTTCCTAGCAAGCATGCTTTAGTCCATGATGTAATTTGTTATGCTACTGCTGTTATTTTTAGTTCCTCTGTTTTAACGAACCAATGTTTTGGCCCGCTTTTCTGTTTCAATTTATTTTTTTCAGCTTTGTTGTTGTGCTTGTGATCCACAATTGAACTAGATAGCATTATTATAGGCGTGTGTTATCCACACACCCCTTTTTACTTTATAGTTTATACACACCCTCTTAATTTGCAGCCCTTGGATCGGCTGAATTAAAGAAGATCAAAGGACAGAAATTAACAAGGGGTGTGTGAGAAGTAAAAAGGGGTGTGTGGATAGCACAACCCTTATTATAACTGGGTATCGTAATATATCTCAGTGGGTTATTCCTGCTTATATTCAGAATGTCATGTCCAATTTTCATTTTGACATGTCTAGCACGGTGAATCATTGAGCAACTACGTATCGAGAGATAATTTTCTTTAACATACTCGACTTCTCCAACAGGTTCAATTCATCACTCGACGTGTACCACAGTCTGTTGCAGAAATACGCGGGTATTTGTTGGAACACAATTATAATGTTGAAAGTTTTTAAACTTGATTGCAAATTGTAATTGTAATTACATTCTTTTGTTTTATTGCTCAGATTGGCGTGCGAAGACATCAGTGGGGGCCAAGAGGATGTTCCCATTCCGGCTACCAATTTGGTTGATGATCCACCTGTTTCACCCACAGGCAAGTTGAATTATCAAATCTTCGAATTGTTGTCTTGGTCGCACATGAATAACTGAATAAAATATTTTCTTTTCCTAATCATCATTGACTTGTCAATCACAGATTTAACATCTCATTAATAATCTATTCACACTACATGCATGATTGTAACCAATTACTAGCTGTGGTGGTTGAACTTTTTCATGGACATGTGGCCTCCTCAAATTTGTTAAAAAGTCACTTAAATGATTTATATTCTATACTAACGTGAGTACAACAATCTGGTGTCAAATTCGTAAATTTCAGGTTTTACGTATTGTAAGTCTATCCAAGTTGCGCAAAATGTGAAGCTTCCCACAGATGTCACTGGATGCAATTGCAAAGGTTCTTGCACGGACCCTAAGACTTGTGCATGCACCATGCTAAATGGCGATGACTTCCCATATGTGCGGCGTGATGGTGGCAGGTGAGCAATACATTAAACATGCCATTATATATCAACATGAAATTTTGATATTAGATGCATAATAGTTTTGGCTGATTTTATTACTTTATGTTCTTATTTGAGGGTACTCTTGCTTATGTTGCATCTTCCAGATTAATTGAGGCGAAGGATGTAGTGTTTGAATGTGGTCCAAAATGTGGTTGTGGACTTTCTTGCCTCAATCGTACTTCTCAGAGAGGGCTGAAGTATCGGTTCGAGGTGGTGTTATTGTAGCTACTTTGTTTGGTTATTTGGAAACACAGACACACATGATTACACGAATCACTGCTTGGCTATTGTCAAAGTGGCACATTCTAAATAGTGGGCATTAGCAGGTTTTCCGGACACCAATGAGAGGATGGGCTGTTAGATCATGGGATTTTATCCCTTCTGGAGCACCAGTCTGTGAGTACATAGGAGTAATTAGAAGGACAGAAGATGTAGATAGTGCCTTAGAGAACTATTACATATTTGACATGGATTGTTTGCAAACTATGAAGGGGCTTGACGGAAGAGAGGTATTGCCACTAGCTGTATTCAACTATCCAATATGATATGCCTTGGCAATTCCAGTTTGAAGTCTCTCTGTGTCGATAAAAGATCACTTCTTAATTTTGATAACTTTTAAAACCTGGATCTCCTACTTGGTTTCTGCATGTATGAATTAATTGTCTCATTAGAAGGTTAGATAATGCTTGTTCTGGTATATTTTCAAAGATTGTTTGATGATGGTTTATATTTTGGCTTTAATGTATAAAATAATATAACTATAAAGTTTTGTATGTAGAAACAAATTGAGAATGAAATGTAGGCAAATGACTCTTTTGTAGCTGTTAGAACATGGATATTTTTGGATGAACACTGCCCATATGTGGCTGTCTAACTACATCACCTTCATGAGGAAATAGTCGTTTGTATATTTTCGCTAGAAGTCAATTACAGTTTACCATTTCATATGACATATTTCTTTGTCAGTTATGTATTTTGATCTTGCTGAGCTGGGAAATTTTGTCTCATTTATCTTTCTGACAGAGGCGTTCACAAGCTGTATCCATACCAGCAGCTAATTCACTGGAGAGACCTGATGATCAGAGCTCTGATAGCGGGCCAGAGTTCTGCATTGATGCAGGTTCAACTGGAAACATAGCCAGATTTATAAATCACAGTTGTGAGCCTAATCTGTTTGTCCAGTCGGTGTTGAGCTCACACCATGACTTAAAACTAGCTCGGGTGATGCTGTTTGCTGCGGACAACATACCTCCTCTGCAGGTGTCTCTTGTTCTCTCTCTCTCTCTCTGATTGTCGTTTTCATCACATTCAATCTTGTTTGATTGAAGTTGGAAATGAGAATGAGAATGTTCCAAGATAAGAATGCTGGTGATATTCCAAAAATAGTAATAGGTTGTGTGTTTATGAACTATGTAGCCAACAAGGTTAATGTCTTGATGCCTTAAATTCAATGTTAAAGTCGTCGTGATGAAGTGAATGTTTATTATCTGTATGGTACCATCACCAAGCGGCTGCTACTTATAGGATCCTGATAGGAATTTGTTCTGTTGCACGCACTTGGAATCTTCTTTATGTGGACTTTAACTACGAGTTCCAGTAATTGGATCTTAAACTTAATTTTGGAGTGGCTGACATTATTGTTGGATTTATGACAGGAGCTCACATACGACTATGGCTATGCCCTTGATAGCGTCTTGGGTCCCGATGGGAAAGTAAAAAAGATGTTCTGCCATTGTGGTGCGACAGGTTGCAGGAAGCGCTTATTCTAGTTGATGAAACTGATATTTAGACTCGGACTTCGCAACAATTCCAGGTTATGGGTTTATACTTTATTGTTGTATTCCTTTGTAATTCCGCCGGGCTGATCTAACCTCCATGCTCTGGGAGATTGTGCTTCAAATGCACAGAAAAGGTACATGTCAAACCATGGACACTCATTTGTAACACTCACATGTCGAGAGAGAATTGAAATATCAATATTTCGGTCAAAAACTAGGAACCTTGCAACGATTTGTACGTACTATCATTGCCTTGATCGGTTCCTCATCGATCCAGATTTCCTTATTTTTTGTTTCGGCATGAAAAAAACTGCTCCCCAGACATCCATCTTCCAAAAAAGTTGGATTCTTGCTCGAATACTAAGACAAGAAAAATTGCAAACCAGTAACCATTCAATCGCTATACGTGTTACAAACTAGACTGCCAATAAGCAGCTTTGTTAGAGAAATACATCAAATACATAATACGATAAATGGCAGTCTACTTAACTCTGAAGCAATTATTATTCACTCATCCAATCCCAAACTGGTTTTTGTACGGTATTGGCGTCCAGTTCTCTGTATACTGCTTCTTCCATCCATTGCTGTATCCGGTTCATCTTCCTCCATTGCACAAACATCTTCATTATCCTCTGCTGCAATGGCAAGTGGCATCACTTTGCAAGCCGCAGTTTCCCTTCGAGCACCCCCTGGTCTCTCTGACTCCCCATCGTTTTCTATCATTAAAGCATCACTTGATTTCTTTCTTGGTATAAATGTGACAGGTTTTGAAAGATCAACAGAAGCATCCTCTGCCTGTGGTTCCGTAGAATTTGACTTCCTCACCAGATTAAGGAATTCCATGTAGGCTTGCTTGTTAGACTCCTCGTCCACATCACCTGATGAATCAAACGTGTAATGCGTATATCTTGAAGGATTTCGTATATAATCCGGAACTGGAGGATTTTCATTTGAATGAGTTTCTACAGGAACATCTTTGGCTCCGTCTTCATCTTCATTACTTTTGCAGTTGGAGTCAAACCGGACACGTTTTTGTGTTTTGGACGAGTCTAACTGATTATCATTCTTCCTCTTCAGAATCGACTTTAGGTTGGCAGCATCTTCAGAGATGTTTTCAGCAGCTATAGAAGACGATGTGCCGTTCCCAGAAACCCTGAGGGAGTCACTTTTTTGAGCTGCTTCAGCATCTTGTTGGAGCCTAATCTTAGCTGCCAGGTGATTAGCACGCGGGTCTCTAGTGAAATCCTTAATGGAACTAGGAACCTTCTCTTGAGTATCAATATCGATCCCATAGTCGTTGACATCCCTCATATACAAGCGATCTCCGGCGGTCTCCTTGCCAACAGCCACTTTGTCATATCCATCTTCCTCTTCCTGTATACAGAATACAAATACATGTTAATACTAGTTAAAACAGGCAGTCCCAACTCCCGACCCTCAAGCAAATCGGAGAATTAATAACTACGAAAGCTTATAATTTGATTCAGCATAAACATCTGCACCTCTATCTTGCCTGCCTAGTTAGTGTTCACGGGCATTCCGATTTGCTCTTGCTCATACATCGAATTTGAATTACACTACACAGTGATGGCATGAGATCCTAATCGATCAAATTGTAAAGAGCAGCAAAGTGAGAGAGATAAATACCTCGAAGTCGAGAGTACAGTCCCTGCCGATTGAGGATTTAATTTCCCACTCCTCTTCATTGTAGCCGTCTGGCTTATCCTCAGTTGCGGGCTGACTGGGAGAACCAGATGCCTCTTGCTCCTCCTCGCCTTCGTCTTCGTCTTCGACGTCGTCGTCGTCAAGGTCTAGAAGGTCCTTCTCCAGGTCGTCACTGAAATCATTCTTCGACCTTGAATTTGATTTTGAGTAGAAGGGTAGGGGTTCGGGTTCGGGTTCGGGGCTGCCCTTGTCTCTGTTCCATTCCCTCCTCTCGATTTCCTCGTCGGTTAGGGACCATAGCGAGCTCAGACACGACTGTTGACCGGACGACGACGATGAAACTGGGAGAGAGCCGAAGATTTTGCCTACTCGAACGTTGAACGTGTCTTCCATAGTGGGTGGGATTTCGAATTCCGATAGCTGAAATTCTCAATTAGGGTTTTAAAAGGGGAAACCTCCGGTTTTGGATTGCACCGACTAATAATGAGGCACGTACCGAGTTGAGTGGGCCTAGTCCAATTTAGGTGATTTCTCTCTCACATAAGCCTATGACGAGTCCGGCCCATGCTTTGCCCATGTACTAATGATAGCACTCCAGTTCATTAAAAAAGAAATAAAAACAAAGCATCAGTTGGGCAAGAGAGGTGTCTCCGCTTCTTTTGGCCTTCACAGAAGAGTTGAGGAAGACCTTGAAGTTGATCATTGTGCCCGAATGCTCAAATGGTGAACTTTCATTTTGCAGGATGGAAATGATTGGGTGAATTCTCATGCAACAACTTCCTCTGGATTGATCCTTCCTGTGCTTTACCAAACATGAGTGTTGTGAACTAAAGAAGTTGTTCCCAACGAAGAAGGTAGAAGCAGCGGATAAATATATGGTCCCGAATACTGAAATTGAATGCTCTTTCTTCTTTGATAAGAGTAGTATTTTTATAAAAAGGTAAGCTTGGTGAATAAAAAGACAAAGCCACCCATGAGATGACCCACCAAAGAGTAGAGTAGAGTAGAGTAGAGTACACTTGCAATAAGAAAACTACTAAAATTATTAAAAAAAAGTCGAGAGAAAAGGCACACAGAGAAAACAGAGTGAGTAGAATTAGAAATATAAATGGCAGGTTGATCGACCAGCGAGTGATCATTTCATCGCCTCTCTTCTCTAGCTTCTCTCTTCTTTCTCTTCTCTCTTCAACGGTGTGTGTGTCATGCTGTTTGCGGCGACACTTCCCATCCATGCAATTTAACGCTGCTTTCTTACGTTAATAAGCGTGAATTGCTCTTGTTTCTGGAAAATGAGTCACTCTTTTTACTCTTGACAGCTGCTGCTGAGAGCTGACCTTCATCGGAGGAGAAGAGCTCTGCTCGTGCTTCCGCTAATGGCCACGACTTGGTCCCTCTTGTGCATGCTTACGTTGGTCGTCGGATTTCTAGTCGCCGACTCCAAGTTTATTGCATACAACACTTCCCAAGGCATAGTCCCCGGCAAAATCAATGTCCATTTGGTCCCTCACACCCACGACGACGTTGGCTGGTTAAAGACCGTTGATCAGTATTATGTTGGCTCCAACAATTCCATCCAGGTTTCTTCTGGATTTTGGATTCTGACTCTCTGACTTCTCTGAGGGTTGTTTGTTTCTTCTGATGATTTGATTTCAATGGATGGATAATAGGGGGCTTGCGTGCAAAATGTGTTGGATTCTTTAGTTCCTGCTCTGCTGGCTGACAAGAATCGCAAATTCATTTAGGTTGAACAGGCAACCCTCTTTCTCTTTCTTTACTTGCTTCTTCTTTCTGTTCTGCTTCCAAGTTGTATACCTCCAATCTTACCAAATTTATATATCCACGGTTAAAACTGGCACTTGGTACTTACTGCAAGATGACTACATAACATATATAACTTGTATCTCTTGCTGCTTAATCAATGCATTGAATTGCATTGCATTGCACTGCAGGCATTCTTCCAGCGGTGGTGGAGAGATCAGAGTGACGCCGTCCAGAGTATAGTCAAGCAGCTAGTCACCTCGGGTCAATTAGAATTCATGTAATCTAATATGCCAAAAACAGCAAGGCAGGTTTCTTTTCATTTCTTTTGGTACTAATGCTTTGTTTTTTCCCCATGCTTCAGAAATGGGGGAATGTGTATGCATGATGAGGCTGCAACGCATTATATCGATATGATAGATCAGACGACTCTAGGGCATCGCTTTATTAAAAAGGAATTTGACATGACTCCAAGAATTGGTTGGCAAATTGACCCCTTTGGGCATTCGGCAGTCCAGGCTTATTTGTTGGGAGCAGAAGTAAGCACGCCTTTGGCTTTACCTTTGAAGTTTGAACACAAAATTTCCTTTTTCTATGCCTAGAGTACACCTTTTGAAATTGTGGCCGGAGCATTTTTGCCAGAAAGTATTACTCATACACTGTGAACAACATTTTGGTGTTGTTGTAGGCGGGATTCGACTCACTTTTCTTTGGTCGAATAGATTACCAGGATAGGGCTAAGCGCAAAAATGACAAGAGCCTTGAATTTATTTGGCAGGGTTCGAAGAGTCTCGGTTCATCTGCTCAGGTGATGAACAACAATTGCTTTTTGTTTTATATAACATTTTTACATCTGGGATTCTGGGTTTGTCCATGTCATCATGGATATGCTTCCTTTTAGTCATTATGTAATATTTAGTGGTGTTATTTTTATTTTATTGGCAGCAGAAGAAATATTATGTGCTGACTACTTCATTATTCTTCTAAACTGTTCCAGATTTTTTCTGGTGCATTCCCTGAGGCTTATGAGCCTCCATCTGGTTTCTATTTTGAAGTTAATGATGATTCCCCAATTGTTCAGGTAACATCATGATTTGCAAACAAGTTTTTATATTTCATTTGGGTTATTGAATATTTACTTGTTTGAATTGTTAAACTTAATTGCTGTTCTATTGAAGGATGACATCACTTTGTTTGATTACAATGTACATGATCGTGTTAATGACTTTGTTGCTACTGCAGTATCACAGGTAAATTACCTGGTTGTCTTCATCAAACACTTTTTTCTCTTTTCTTTTCTTTTTTCTATCATACAGGGCATTATTTTGGTGGCTGACAGCAATGATTTATTCTCAGGCTAACATAACTCGAACGAATCATATAATGTGGACCATGGGAACAGATTTCATGTATCAGTATGCACACACATGGTTCCGACAAATGGACAAACTCATTCACTATGTCAACATGGTAATAATCGCTTAATACTTTTTATTGATGCTGAGTTGGTTTTATGAAATTATTACAGTCTCACACCTTTTGTGCCTCTAAATATCATCATAACTGGTACTGATGATATTGGACATTTATGCTTGTGCCGGAGAGGCCAAATTGGTCGATTCAACCTTTCTGTAGTCTCTGTTCTGAGGTAAAAACGTAAAATGATAAACTGGATACGTTATTTCCAGCTATTACCTTCATTTTCTAACGCGTTCCCAAAAGATGCAATATATAAAGATGTTAACTGATTAGGAATGCATTTCCTTGTTGTCTTGTATGGGTTTGTTGATTATATTATGCTGTTATTAAAATCCAATTGTTCTTACTTTTTTTTGGAAACTTCCAAGGATGGACGTGTTAATGCTCTGTATTCTACTCCATCCATATATACGGATGCAAAGTATGCTACAAATGAATCATGGCCAATCAAGACCGGTGATTTCTTTCCGTGAGTTTTAGGTTTATTTTGTTTTGTAATCTTTCCTTTGATGTGTCAACCTTACAGTAAAACTGAAGTATGTCACCATACCAGTTATGCAGATCGTGCAAATGCATACTGGACAGGGTACTTCACAAGTAGACCAGCCTTGAAACATTACGTTAGAACAATGAGTGGCTATTATTTGGTATCTCCCTGCAACTTTTCTCTGTATCATGAATTAGTGTTTACAGTTAATTGACAGCTTTTCTATTGTCATACATATATGTCTCTCTTGACAAAAAGGCTGCAAGGCAACTAGAATTTTTTATAGGAAGGACTGATTCAGGGCCCAACACAGATTCATTGGCAGATGCCTTGGCAATTGCTCAACATCATGATGCAGTCACTGGTACAGAGAAGCAGCATGTTGCCAATGATTATGCAAAAAGATTGGCCATAGGCTACACGGAGGTGCGAATTAGCCTTAACTTCCATGTTCTTTTCGGTCCTCAACTATTTAACTCAAATTTCACTCTCTTGTTCATTGTCTTCCTGTAGGCCGAGCAAGTAGTTGCCACGTCACTTGCTCACTTGGTTGAGCCTGCATCATACACTGGATCTGTAAATCCAACTACGAAGTTTCAACAGGTAATTAATTTTGACCCCTTGAGCTTGTATGCTATTTTCATATCCTAGTACTTGACCTTCAACTAGACCTATAAACGGGTCGGGTTTATTGGGTTTGGGTCGGGTTCAACCCGACCCGTTAAGTTAATGGGTCATCCGAATCCAACCCGTTAAGCTAACGGGTCACCCGAACCCGACCCGTTAAGCTAACGGGTCACCCGTTTCACCCGTTAACAATTATTATTATTATTATTTTTTTCATAAAGTTTATTTTTTGTTATTAAGACTTTACTAAAATTACTAAAATATCCTCAACTAACGGGTGTTAACGGGTCTAACGGGTTGACCCAAAGTGACCCGTTATTTAACGGGTTCACCCGTTAGCGACCCGACCCGTTAAGCATCCACCCAAATACAAATATTAACGGGTTGGGTCGGGTCGGGTTAACAGGTTGGGTCCAAAATGCCAGGCCTACCTTAAACTGCATGGATGGTGATAATTTGGATATTGAACTTTAGTATGACTCATGAGGTAGTTGCAAAGATGGATAGGATTAGTATGTTTAAAACGTTCATGCCAGTAAGAAGGATTTTGATAACTGAAACAATGAAGTGAATGAGTGAAATTTCAAATTCAAGCTAAGAAGAACGGTTGATCTATCCATCATCTTTTCTGCCTTTTGTCATTTACTTTGTTTTCATTGATTCTCCAGTGCCCACTTCTGAATATCAGCTATTGCCCTGCATCAGAAATGAATTTTTCTGAAGCGAAACAATTGGTAAGGAAAATAAAGTACCTAATGCCATGCTCTTAAGTGTATCGACTATTAAGTGTTACTTTAATTCCACTTGTGAAATATATTTTCTGATGGTGTTTTCTCGTCTATAGATTGTCATGGTGTACAATTCCCTAGGATGGAAGAGGGATGATGTAATTCGAATTCCTGTGAGTACTTCCTTTTCCAAGTTCTATCTTAATGCTTTCTGTTGTGCTAGTGTTTCCTTTCCATTTATTTATTTTAGAAATAAATAAATATAAGAACGAGGAGGAGAATCCATGCAAGTGCTTAGATCATATATATATGTTAACCAGGGTTGGGTGAAGTCTTAGCGTATTTGGGGTACAAAACTTCTATAAATGGCCGCTTTATATTGATCGTGCGAACAAGCCGATGTGAATGCAAAGTTGATAATCAATGACTCCCTCCGTAATATTTATGTTAATAATGTAGATTATCAATGAAGATGTCACTGTTCATGATTCTGAGGGAAGAGAAATTGAATCACAGCTTCTCCCACTAGATGATGCCCATGTGGGCTTAAGGAACTACTATGCTAAGGCATACTTGGGTCAAACTCCAACAAAGACACCAAACTATTGGCTTGCGTTTACAGTATCCGTGCCACCACTCGGTTTCAACACATACACTATCTCGCTTTTGGGTAAAGGTGCTGGTTCCACCAGATCATCTGTACAGACATTTCAAAGTAGGGAAGAGTCCACTATTGAAGTTGGTCAAGGAAATGTGAAACTCACGTTTTCTACAAATCAAGGCAAAATGACTAAATATGTCAACAGAAGAAGCTTGGTAAGTATGCACCTAACAGTTGCGTAGATACTATACCTGATGATTGCATTTCCTTCTCCAATTGTATTTCCTTTTTACATATTTGTTTTTCATTGGTGCGATTCAGTATCAGGTTATCGACGTTGTGATAGCTCTGTTAATCCAACTGCCAAAAACGGCAATGGAATAGAAAACAAAAATTGTTGTAGCTAACTCAACTATTCATTCCTTTTGAAGGTTGAAGAATTGGTCGAACAGTCTTACGGTTTTTATAATGGATATAATGGCAGTGATGATAAAGCTCCTCTGATTCCTCAGGTATATAAATGCTGATAGAAGCTAGTGCTCTGTTGCAATATTTCTTATTTTCTATTTTTATGTTTTTAATTTGAAGGACATGAAAACTGATTATTAAGTGACCCTTTCTATGGTATCTACTTGTTTCGATATAAAACGCTTTATTGTTCTTTTTTTTAAATTTTTCTAGAATGCCGGGGCATATATCTTCCGTCCAAATGGCACGTTTCTCATAAAACCTGGAGAAAAGGTGTGTACTTTTACCTTGTGAAATATATTTAGACTCAGGCATAAGTTGGGAGATTGTTGATTAGCAACTGTTGTTTAAAATTTCAGGCTTCTCTGACTGTCGTGCGTGGACCAGTAATAGATGAAGTGCATCAACAAATTAATGCATGGATATATCAGGTGCCTTGCTTGTCAAGTGCTTGCTATCTCTGTATACGTTTTCTCTTTGTTCTCTTGCAGCAACAGTAGCATCATTATTATGTTCTAAAATAAAATCTCAGTAATGTTTCATTGGATGTGTGTACAGGTCACCAGAATTCACAAAGAGAAGGAGCATGTTGAATTCGAGTTTATTGTAAGTTTACAAATAAAGACAAAAAGGAAATAAGAAAGTTCGAATAAAAATTGAAAATTATTATTAGGCCTGTTCATTGAAAACGTTTGCATATTCAGGTTGGGCCATTACCTACTGATGACGGAATTGGCAAAGAAGTTGTAACTCAACTAGCCACTACCATGGCTACCAATAAAACGTTCTACACTGATTCTAATGGGCGTGATTTTATTGAAAGGGTACACAAATTACTTGCTCTTACAATATATTATCTAGTAGTTTTGATATCATGTTGATGCTCAAAATTTATTTATCTTGTAGACTTATAGTTTTATACTTTTAGAAAGCTATCAGAGTGCCTCTTAGGAGTTAATACGCATTCCTAATTATTGTTGGCATATAATAATGCAAGGATCCCTCTCTTTTGCAGATTTGCGACTATAGAACAGATTGGGACCTGAAAGTGCACCAACCTATAGCCGGAAATTATTATCCAGTATGTTTATTTTTCCTTCCTCAAAGTAAACCTCCTTTTTATGTGGCTTTACGGGGGCTATTTCTGTTGGTCTTATTAACTTTCAGTAAAAAAACTAGCAAACTGAGTTGAAGTTTGTATCAACATTTGGTTTGCACTTGCACAGTGTTGTGCATATGGCTGAAAGAATACGGTGTCCCACTCTTTAATTAGTAGAATTTCATGAATTGTAAGACATGATAGTTCTGTTTCCACTATATTCTTTTAAATAGAACAATAATTTCTCCGTCTCAAGATTTTCTATATCAAATGCATATGTTTCTTTATACATATTTTGGCTCCGTTGCCATCCGGTAGTCATTGGATAGGTGAGTGTTGTACTAGTTATTAGCTTCACATGTTTTTTTATGTTGTCTTTGCAGATTAATCTTGGGATATACATGCAAGATAACAGTACAGAATTTTCGGTTTTGGTGGATCGATCTATAGGAGGGTCCAGCACAGTGGATGGACAGATAGAGCTGATGCTCCACAGGCATGTTTTTATTCTTCAATAAGATTGACATTCATGAATGTAACTTTTTCATAGAGCATACAAATTAAAGTCATGATTGGGATTTCCTTGTTTCTCTTACCACACAGGAGACTACTACTTGATGACTCAAGAGGTGTGGCAGAGGCTCTAAATGAAACTGTCTGTATTGACAATGTTTGCAGTGGACTAAGAGTAAGTGCATGCTACCTGCTTTGCAACGACTACTGTGCGGTGTTATAGACCAAACTGGAGTTTTGGTTGCGACCATATCTAGATGTGGTATAACTATTTTGACTATCCTAAGAGTTTAAGGTTGCCTAACTTTTGTGTCCACCTCTTGCTTCTGTTAAAACTTATCAGATCCAAGGAAAATTTTATTTCAGAATCGACCCCCTGGGAGAAGGTGCCAAGTGGCGTCGCACTTTTGGTCAGGAGATATATTCCCCTCTTTTACTGGCCTTTTCTGAACAGGTGAAAATATAAAATACAAAAAAACGAAAAGACATTTAAGTTTGGTTTTAACCTTGTGAGCTGCTCAATAATAGGTGGCTCCCTTTCTGTAGGATGGAGATAACTGGAAGAATTCTCATGTAACCACTTTTTCAGGGGTTGGTTCCTCGTACAGTTTACCTAATAACGTCGCTCTTATAACTCTTCAGGTAACTTGGGGCTTATCTAGAATTTCGGATGTTCTTTCTCTTTAGCTTTTTAATTTTAATTTTACCTAGTTAAGAATGGGGTCCAATTCAACTTTCCTAGAATATTGAATCGAAACCACAACGATAGCAGCAGAATACAGACTTGTGATATCCTGGTTTCTTTAATTTGCATAGGAGCTTGATGATGGAAAAGTTCTCCTTCGATTAGCACATTTATATGAGGTTCTAATCTCTCACTCGTTCTACTTCAACTATCTATTTCTGCTCTAGTACCTCATTCATTTATTTATAATGTACTCTGTTAGAGCCAGCATCTTCACTTCCGATCCTCCGCATTTTATTTACTACTATTGTTTTTTCTTGTTCAAAATTGTGCTCAGATTGGAGAGGACAGGGATCTTTCTGTAATGGCAAATGTAGAGTTGAAGCAGCTCTTCCCCAGGAAGAAGGTAAAAGAAAGAGCCACAAACATTAACCAGAGTTCATTATTGAATTCTTTTCTTATAATATCGTGCTTTTCCGGTACAGATTGGTAAACTTACAGAGATGAACTTATCGGCAAATCAAGAACGGACAGAAATGGAGAAAAAGAGACTCAATTGGAAGGTGGAAGAAGGCTCTTCATCAGAAGCAAAGGTTGCGAGGGGTGGAACTGTTGATCCTGCAAAACTGGTTGTGGAACTTGCACCAATGGAAATCCGAACCTTTCTCGTTGAGTTTAACCAAAGCTTCAATCATTATTCATTTGATGCCTAACCGAATGAGACTGAAAACGTAGAGGAGACTTGAGAGGCCCTTGGCTTCTGGAGTCCTGAGACTTTTTCTGTCATGTAAATAGACATTGAGTTATGTTTCTAGTGTTGAACGAAACAAGCAGAGGAAAAACGATAAACGCGTAAAAATCAGGGAACGATGTGGTTTATGAAATGAGGTTGTACTAAGTATTGAGTTGATAAGCTACTATTAAATGGCAGCTGCTATGTGACTTTTGAAACTCCTGCGTACAGATTGATCTTGATGGCCTCTAAGAAATGGAAGAATAAGAGGCTCATCATGTACCCTCCCTAGTTAATAGCTCACAAGATTGCTCCTCTTCGCCCTCCCATGATTCCATCTTATCCACATGCTTTGGTTGAGGGTCAACAGCCTATGGTGCCTCAACCCCCTTTGGTTCAACTATATATCATCGACTTTTATTCCTTCTAGTAGACAAGGTTGTACGGGCGCACATGAGAGATCCTTGTGCACCATATCTATAAAATCTACAAAAAGTATCTTAAAATTAAAGGAAAGTAATTACTAACATGTAACAACAAAGCTTAAATACCACCAAAACTTGTAATAATAATTGTTCGATGGTAGGGATCTGTTCGGCAAAACTCTACCGAAAATTTCTTCAAACATATAGCTTAAATTTGCTGAGGAAAGTCTACCGAAGCCATCTAAGCCCAGGGGTTAAAATGTAATTGTAGCGGTGGCCGAACCGATATTCGGTGAAGATGCTGAAGGATAGATTGGCGGGTGGGGTATTTTTAGCGCCGCTGTCCGATAAATACATGAAAATAATAAATAGGGAAAGGCAAATGCTTGACCGGTGAGCCGATTAGCGAGAAGAACAGAGTTTTTGGAAGAATTTTCATGTCCATCTTGCCCAACCAAGACCAAGGATCTATATCATCGTCTACCTCTTCAGCTCCCTCTATAAACCCTAACTCCCAACATGGACACCGCCATCACCACGTTTCCCTTTCTCAATCCCAATCCCAGTCGCTGTCTCCGCCGGATCCCTCCCGCCAAATTCTCCAATTTGGATCGCTTCGGATCTCCGACTCTCAATCTAGCTCCTCCGCTACTTCTTCAGGTGTTTGATTTTCAACTTCTTCAATCTGTTTCTTTTCCGTTACCTTGTTTATTAGAAAGTAAATACCCTAGAATTTGGGCAAATTGGAAAGAATCAATCTTTTCTTGGATAAGTACAGCAGTTTGGAGTCCATTATTGATCTTCGCTCTGCTTGAAGGTGTTTGATTTTTACTACTTGAAATAGAATGTTGTTTAAATTATTCGTCTGCAGGCCTGTCGCCATCGGCACCAGCTGCAGAAGATTCTGGTGGATCTTCCCAGCAGGTATATTGACTTTATGTTTTGAATGTTTCGTTTTTCTGCAGTACCCACGCTTGTATGATCTGAGAGAGCAAATGAGTAATGACTTTCAGTTCTTTGTCGTTGTTTGTTTCTTTTATCTAGGTGACTGAGTTAGGGATACCTTGGGGTAACCAGGCTTTACCCAATAACCTCCACCACACACATTCACAGTGTCACTCTGGTGGAGGTGGACGAGGGGTTGGATCACCCTGGTCTAGAGGGAAAAGGTCAGGAACCGATGGTTCTAGTTCAACTCAACATAGTATGGGGTCTGTTGCTTCTCATGGAAACTCCACTCATCAAACAGGAAAGAAAACCCAGCTGATGAATGGCAACCACTTGTTGAATTTTTATTATGACCCCATATCTCGTCCTCAGCATAGAGCTGCTCCTCCTTCTTCAAGAAGGCAACACAAGAGGAAGCCATACAACAAAGATCTATTTCTTCAGGCTAACTACAAATTCGTAGTGTTAGATTCAGTAAACTACTCAGCTGAAGCGATGGATCCAGATAAGGTGTTACAGTGGGAGGACATCATTTGCGTGAGATATTCCACCCCAACTGTGGTTCAGTGTCCCATTTGTCTGGAATATCCTCTATGTCCGCAGATAACCTCATGTGGACATATCTTCTGTTTCCCATGTATTCTGCAATACTTGTTGATGGGGAAGGAGGATCATAAAGGAGACTGTTGGAAAAGTTGCCCATTGTGTTTTGTGATGATATCCCCGAAGGATTTATACACTCTATTCGTGGAGAATGTTAAGCAGTATTGTGTTGGTGATACTATAGAGTTTATGCTTATTAGTCGACAAAAGGATTCATTTACTTTATCCCATAAAAGTAAACAAGAGAAAGGTGCTGTTGGAGGTTGCGATGATGAAAGCTATGATCCATTTTCAAAGTTTACATTTACTTCAGATGTAGATCTTTCAGTCAGAAAAGCAATATCAGAGTTAGATGGTTGGTTGGTCAGGGCAGAGTCGGGGCTTGTTGATGACCTAGAGAAGCTTCCATATGTATGTGCTGCAATGGAACAATTAGAACAGAGGAAGAAATATTGGAACGAGCACGGGGCTAGCAACAGTAATAAATCTTGTAAATATAATAATCATAATACTGGTTCCATCTTGTCAACTGAAAAAGCTACAATTGGTAACAATGAAGCATCTACATTTGGACAGGCAAATCCGTCCAATGAAGTCTATGACGGTAATGTGTGTTCGGACAGTATATCTGTGGAGAAGTCAGATGATGGAACTTGTTCTGACCAATCTGTGGATGCAGCTGAATCATTGGAAGGCCAAGAAAATGTTTTTTCTTCTTCATATGATGAAAGCAACAGTGCCCGAGGGGACTCACATGACTCTGGAAGTGTAAAGGAGAAGGAATCATACAATTTCTACCAGGTGACTGATACTTAGATATCATGTTTCCCTTTTGTCTTTTGCAATTAATTTCTACGGTTCACATTTTACTAACCTGCTCATTTCTATACATAGTAATTGCAACTATCTTTGTCTTGTTTGCAACAGTTGTTTAACTTTTTAAAACTGGTTTCCTACTGGTTTGTATTTGGTGTGTTAGTCGGTCATGTGCTCCTTTCTCTCTCTTTGAACCTTAAGATTGAAGAAAGTTTTCAGTGGTTTAGCTATTTATATTTTATGTCTCTATATCAGGCAGCTGATGGTCAGCACATCATTATTCATCCGTTGAACATGAAATGCCTTCTACACCACTATGGGAGCCATGATATGCTACCACACAGGTATGGTTGAAAGTTTACTGATTGTTTCTGTTGTATGGATAGAATATGCAAAATCTATTATAAGGGCCCCCTTTATCCAGAAGGATATTCTTCTATAGGATGCATATTCTTTACAGTTCTACTTGTCTGACATTAGAAGACGGTATTTGTATCAGTGCAGCAGTAAAAGAGGGGAGGTGAGGGGGTGGGGAGTGCCCTTTTATTAAATATGGGGTCTTCTTATTTCTGAAATGTGAAAATGGGTCAAATTCGTTATTGCAGGGTAAGTGGAAAAATTTTGCAATTGGAGACTGTGACTCAGACAGAAGCTATGAGGAGGCGCTACCGCTACTTGAGTCATTTTTCTTTAACAACAATACTCCAGGTAGCTTTGATACATGATCCGAATGACATCACACTATAAGAGCATTATTGTTTCAGGTTGCGCATAGTATCTAATCACTATACACTCACATTTCAGTTTTGTGAGATTGATCTCAGTGAGGTATTGTCTCCTGATGCGTTGTCTCCCTTTATGGAAGACATAAAGAAGCGTGAACAGAAAAGGAAGCAACTTGCTAGGAAGGTATTATTAATTGCTTCTTCATTATATACTGTATAAAAATAACATTAGTTTGTTCATGCTTTAAAATTATATGCTATTCCTATTTATAGGAGCAAAAGGAGAAAATGAAGGCTGAATCTACCATGGCATATCCCATCCCCATAGTAGCAGGTTATGGGCAATCCTTGCATGAGGGATCCCCTACATTTTCCATGGATGACTTCGAGGGTAATATAATGTTCCTTGTATATGTTGTATATGTTGTATATATTTAGATGCATGACCTTTTTTATGTAAATTTATTCCACTCAAGCAGTACCATTGGGTTGTTTTGGAATAAATGTATTGTCCAAATAAGGAAAAACAAAATTGAAGTATGGTGTGGCATCCTAGTTCTGAAACCTTCAGCATTTCTGGCATACTAGATCAGAGTTTTATCTTGTTGTCCTAAAGCCTGCAATGCATTCAAACATTTTAAGTTAGGTGTGCTTGAAAACTAGGCTTCTGAATTTTTTGTTATTGTTTATTGTTGAAGTTTGCAGATTCATATCTATATGTATGTTTGCTCTAAGCTGTTGTATTAATTATTACCCCTTCTTGTTGAAGTTTGCCGAAGTATATTTGTATATACTGTGCTCTTATTTTAAATATCATTTAATAGTTTATGCATATGCTTCCTGTTTTCAGCTTTGGGAAGTAGTACAGTGACATCATCAAGCCCTCCTGTTGTTGGGGAAAGGAAGCTCTTCTCGAGTGTTACAAAGCTTGGTTTTGCTGCTGCGCATGATTCTCCAGCGCTGAAACTAGAAGGAAGCAATTCTCTGAATGGCAATGATGCAGGGAGAGTCTTTCCCAAGACAAATGGTATTTATGAAAATCTTGTTATGCTGGTTGTTTTTTCTGCTTGAGATTAAACGGTTATGCAATCAAATCTGGGGAATATTTGATCAGGGTCATACTAAGATAATAGTATGTTGTATCTCGAGAGTAGTGGTTGCTCAACCCTGTTTCATGTTTTTTCTCCATCAGCAGGTACCCAGAATGCGGGTGTTGCGTCATTTGCTAATATAATCGCCAGAGCTAAGCCTGGTGAAAATATGGATCCACCCATGATAAATGATTCGGGAAAGAAGGGAAAGAAACAGAGTCGAGTCCTTTTGTCAACCGCTAGTGGTCGGCGCTACTGATATCTAGTGAAAATCTCGTGAACGATAATGGTGTCGTCTTGTATCTATTAACCTTTGATGGCACAAAAGCTTGTGAATGTGTGATCAATATGTAGATGGGGTAGATGTAAAAAAATAAGAGCCATTACCGAAGTCCTCCGCCTCTTTTCTTGTGTTTGTTTTTGTATTTTTTTCTAGCTAATACAGAGACTCAATAAATGGTACGACTTATATGGAAGGGCTTCTTACATTGTTCTTAATGCGCATGCAGAAGATCTTTACCCACGTTTAACGGTTGCATCTTTTATAATAACCGTGAACTTCATGTTACCAATTGGGTTTTGCCCATGTATAAAATTGGAATCCGTTGGTATTTTTATTCAACTTTCTAGGACAGTGTCCAATGCTCGAAAGATCACTTCCGTTCTCTAATAATTTCTTTTATTATTATTATTATTATTATTAAATTTTTTTTTTTACTTACTTAATCTATAAAAATATAAAAAGAAAAAAAAAAAGTAGTAATTGCTGTGGCATGTATTCAAGGAGGGGGAAGAGAGGAGAGGAAAATTGGTAAAGGGGGAGAAATTTGTTTTTTAAGTAGGAAAGGGATACTCTCCGGATCCCTTTCTCCTAATCTATAAAGTTCGGGGATCTGGACTATTGAAATTTAATCCAACGACTAAAGTTATTATAACTTTTAAAGTAGGCTCCTGTTTATAATCGTTGGATCAAATTTCAATGGTCCGGATCCCATACTTGGTGAATTAGGAAGAAGGGATCCGAACTCCCTTCCCTTTTAAGTAATACTAACACTAATAGGAAAGATTTTCTAGATTTTATAAAATTCATATACATAATCGACTAAGATTTATAATGTCAAACGTATCATAATTTTAACTACACCAATAAAGTGAAAATTTAATGGAGGCAAATTGTCTGCGCTCCTGTTTGGGTGCCCTTCTCATCCCCTTCTATTTGTATGGTCATTGTTAAGCCACGTCAACATTTTATATTTTTATTATTTTTTGTCTTATCATCTTTATAAAAAAAATTAATATAGAATGTTGACGTGACTTAACCGTAACCGTACAAAATAGAAGAGGATGAGAATGGTAGCAAACAGAGGGCAGACAATCTGCCTCCAAATTTAATAGAATCGAGTACCAGTCATGTTATTATTTTGAATTATATATATGATAGTTTCCTTGGCAAATTGTCCTGGCTTGTATCCTTCACTGAATCACAAGCTCAGCCTCGAATCTCGAGCTACTAGAACAGACTTGATGCTGTTATTGTTCGTTCGAGGAGTAGTAGTAGTGGAGCAATGAGAAGTCACAAAGCGGCGTCGAGTAACAACCACCTCAACCGGCGGCCCACTATACTCTACCTGGTTTGCGCCGTCGCCTTCTTCTCTCTTTTCCTTTTCGCCATCCAATCCTCTTTATTCGCAGGTCCTCCCTCCTCACTCACCTTCATATCATTTCCTTTAAATCAAAACTAAACACTGTGTTTCACTCGTAATTCCAAATCTTTAGCATTAATTATATGTATCCAATCCAGGTAATCAGAAGTTACATCTCCACACTCAACATGATGTTCGGGTTTTATCGGAATTTCGGTCTACTGTGAAGCAATGCGTGGTTAGTTTCTCTTAATTTCCTTTATTTTCACTCGATCTGATCCTGCCCTTTTTAATCTGTCTTTTCCTTTAAATCCCTAATTCAAGTTGTTGATTCAGTTTTAGCACTTCAATTTTGCATTTTTTTTGCGTTGTGCTCATCTAAGAAATATTTTGTTTCTCTCCTTCCTTTCTTCATTTTTCTGTAATTTTGGTGAGTTTTTGTGTTGGATATGAGTTCTTACGAAGGTTAAGGTAAATGTAGGCAAACAGAGGGCTTGGTTTGACTGCACACATTATCGACCATTGCAATCTGACTCTTAAGTTCCCGGAAGGAACTAACAGCACCTGGGTCCGTATTCTACCCTTTACCTTCTCACCACAGTTTCATCTTGAATTCTTGTACTATTCTGGTCTCCGAGTGCTAACTACTTGAGACTCGAATTGCAGTATAACGAGCAGTTTAAAACTTTTGAAGCACTCGAGTACCACTACAATGTTTGCGAGGCACTTCTTTTATGGGAGCAGGTTTGTCTCTCTGCTACCTTCTGTCTAAGTTTAATTACCCCCTTATGCCAATTCTTTGTACTGATGCTTTTTTAAGGATGGATGCAGTACCGGAACATGACGACTGTATTGACAAGGGAGTATCTAGATGTTCGGCCTAAAGGTTGGGAGGAGTATGCAGCACAAAGGATAGCACAATTGTACGTTCGTCTACACATTATCTCTTCCCAACCTGTGCTTGATTTCTGCCAATAGATTATAGTATACAAATGCCTACGAACCTACACTCCATCTGTTTTTTTCTTTCCTATGTTTTTTTGGTTGTAGGGGAACTAAGAAATGCTACAATAAGACACTTTGTGAGGAACATCTTAATGTGATACTACCAGCAAAGCCACCTTTTCATCCTCGGCAATTTCGCACATGTGCAGTTGTTGGAAATTCAGGAGATCTTTTGAAGACGGAGTTTGGAGAAGAGATTGATAGTCATGATGCTGTTATAAGGGATAATGAGGCTCCTGTTAATGAGGTAAAATAGCATGTCTGTTTCGTAGCATTGGTGAATATATGGATTTATTCTTTCATGACAGCCTTTGATTCTTCTGTGGTTCTAATTGGAACCACAGGTATACTGTTACGTTCACTGCTTTTATAGGCAATAGAAGGAATAATAGGCACTAGTTTGGTTGATAAAATTCTTATTTAGTCTTTCATATGTGTAGAAATATGCCAAGTATGTGGGTCTGAAGAGGGATTTTCGGCTTGTTGTAAGGGGTGCTGCTCGAAACATGGTTGCCATATTAAATGGGTCCGGTATGCTTCTAATATTTTGTGTGTATAAATTTTTATTTCTTACTTTTGTGTGGCCAAGTTAAGTTGTGCCTGCTGTATTAGATAAGTCCTAACCTTCGTGGCGCTTCACGAAAAGTTACTCAAGTGTGTTTTCATATTTGCAACTTTCCCTTCTTATGCAGCTGATGAGGTACTTATAATCAAAAGTGTTACACACAAAGACTTTAATGCAATGATCAAGGTGAAGTTCACATCTAAGGAGGCCAATATATTTCTTTCTTTCTTTCTTTAGAATATAGTTAACACACCCCATTTTCTGAGATTTCACAAACATTTTGGATCCTAACATATTGCAGGGTATTACAAATCCAGTCTACCTTTTCCAAGGTATTGTGCTCCGCCGAGGTGCCAAAGGAACTGGAATGAAATCAATAGAATTAGCACTATCTATGTGCGACGTTGTTGACATATATGGTTTCACTGTTGATCCTGGCTATACTGAATGGTTTGTTTCCTTTGGCTTTTACTTGATACATTGTTGTTATTTATTGGCTGGCATTATTATAGCAAGCAAGGAACCTGTTTATATTCATGCCTTTGCATGTGAATATAAGTTTCTTTTGCATTTCTGATCACGCAGTGTTATGGTTCAGTAGATGCCCTCTAGTTTATATATTATTTGTATCAACTCAGGTGTGACATTGTTTATATGTCTTCTTATGGCTTACCAATTTGCTGCTTTATTGTAGGACACGCTACTTCTCTACACCTAGGAAGGGGCATAATCCACTTCAAGGAAGGGCATACTACCAGCTCCTAGAGTGCCTTGGTGTAAGAACATACACATTTTTTCTTTATAGATATCGAAAATGCAGGCGCATGCCTGAATTCTCATCACCGAATGTTTCAACTTTTAGCTTTTTTTTTATATGTCAGGTTATTAGAATCCATTCTCCCATGAGATCTAAGAGGAAGCAAGATTGGTCAGATGTTCCAAGTCGAGAAATGATAGGCAGAGCTCATGCAGCTGCATTGCGATTAAAGAGGGGTGAGGCTGGTGACTTGGGACAGTTTGGTAGTTGCAAGGTGTCCGGCAATGTGGACCCTGACAAAGTTGGGCCTGTCTCAGGCTCTCCAGACATGAGTGATAAAAGAAAGTTTTCAAATTACAATAAATGGGAAGTTTTGCCTTTCAAGAGTCTGAGGAAGGAGGCACAGGACCACTATATTCAAATGGAAGGTGTTTCTCTCTACAAAATGGATGGCAATAAGTTGGATGACCTAGTATGCGTGAGGCATTCCTTATCAGATGTCTAGCCAAGAAATATCCTGTGTTTGAGTCTTTATGGATTTAACTTGGATGGTTAAGAGCAGACCCAGCCGTGTGTTACCGGTTTCTCCTTGACTTGTGGAATTTTCAGTGAGATGGTCTTCATCCCGGTGGATTATGGAGTGCGGCTTGTTTTACTTCTCTCGTTATACTTGGATCAGTGGTCGTGACATGGGAGGAATCTGAAGCTGCCTTAAGCAGTGGGAAAGATGTCGACAGAAATCGAATTCTTGTATTTTTTGGGTTACATTTGTAGAGATTTTTGGAAGTGGAAAGATGTCTGGAATACGCATATAAGGTGGCTTAATTAACGTTTGTAATAGATTCTTTTCAGTACATACTACATAGATATTCATTATCCAACGGAGGAATGTAAACTGATTTAAGTGACATTTTGTTTTATTTGAGGAAATTTCAGTGTCATTTTGTGTAGACAATTAAGCTTGTATTTTGGGTTGTATGGTTGTTTCGTTGATGTTTGAGCATCACCATACAACAATATATGACATACGTTGGCGCATCTTTCAACCATACAACAATATATGACATACGTTGTATATTCAACTGCAAGTATCATTTAATATTTTGGAAGAAAAGGTGATCCCGTCTCATCTAATGGTTAAGACATCTGCTGCATAACATACCATGGGACCCACTCACTAATCTATGTTAAGTACCTCTAGCATCCATGTCTTTTTACAAAAGGAACATGCAGGATGCAGCTGCGCGCTTCGCCTTCACTTCCTCAACCATCCATTGTTTTCCAAGTTCCATATGATACGAGTCATGTGACGGCACTTGGATCGTCAAAAGCGCTCCTCAAATTTAAAACTCCAACTCCAAGAGTGTATGAATCCCCAAAACCGTTCCTTAATCCCAACCTCAACGCCCAGAAATCCGTTGATTCCCGTATCGTTCGATCCCCACACATTCCGCTCCAATTTTCTGGTCAAGAACTTCCTAAATCGAGACAATTGTTCGACCAAATGCCTCACCAAAACACCATCTCC